AAGAGAGAGAGAGAGAGAGAGAGAGAGAGAGAGAGAGAGAGAGAGAGAGAGAGAGAGAGAGAGAGAGAGAGGGGCTGAGCGATACAAGATTGGTTACCACGTACCCGCTGCGCTGAAGATTGGTTGTGCGGTCCATGAAGAAGTAGCGGCCATCGCCGCAAAGCCCGGAACACGGAGGAGAGAGGGGAGAGAATCAGGAAGGAGGAAGAAGGGGAAAACGAAGGTGAAGAGAGACATAGCCGGGGGTGTACAAAAAAAAAAAAAAAAGAGAAACAGCGAGAAAGAAGAAGGGTGAAGGAGGAAAAAGAGAAGGGAGATTGGCGAGGAAGAAGGTGCCGGCAGCCATAGCCGACTTGAGGGTTGACCGGGCGTTGACCAGAGGTTTGACCAGAGCGTTGACCGGGGTTTGACCACGTTGACCAAGCGTTGACCAAGGCGTTGACCGGAGCTGTTGACCACGAATTTGACCAAGCTGGAGTTGGTATAATCTCGCCGAGCCCTCAGCCTATCCCCTCGCCCTATGGATGTGCACTCACCCTATGGTACTTGCTGAGTCTGAGTCTGTCTGTCTCTTCTTTCTGCATTGAGTCTCTTCTGTCTAGGGGATAGGACTCCGTGTATGAAGGATAGGGCTTCGTTGACCAAACCCCTGCCGATAGAGTAGGGCTAAAAGCTGTGTCTGACGACTCGACTGTCCCGGAGGCCTAACCCTCCCAAGGACCGATACTGACCGACGGGCTGCTCGGTTGGCACGGTAGGCCCGAAATCTGAGTTGTGGGCTGCACAACGGGATGTCTACGTTTTGAGAGAACCTGCTGATCGCGTCGTCCTGTCTGCGACGTTAAAGAATTCTTGAGGAGTTACGGGGGATCTCCTTAAATGCCTCCCGATCAGCAACAGGTTTTGTAGTGACGGCTGTAGTTTAGAGTTTAGGCTAGTGCCCCTAGCTGACAGGGTCTGAACCAGAGTGAAAGCCAGGTGGGTTTGACCGCAGGTGCTGGGCATCTGGGTCTGGATTGCAAGGACTGTGGTTGCGAAAGCTTCCGTCGGCGGTGGTAATCTGGCTGGAACGAAGGGTAGGATTCTGTGGTCTGTAGAGAGTCGGTCAGGGGGTAGACGTCTAAGTCAGTCAGGGGGTAGACGTCTAAGTGGTGAGGAGTGGAACCGTTACTTGGTTGTGCACCGATCACCATGGTTGAGATGCGTACCGGAAAGAGTACCGCCCCTTATACCGCAGAAGAGGAGGCAAAGGCCGCCGCCATCCTAAAAGAGAGAAGAGAGAGGATTGAGGCCAAGAAGAAGGCCTTGTTGGAGGCGCAGGCGGCGAAGTTGAAGAAGATAGAGGAAGAGATGGCCAAAGAGAAGGAGTGGTTGAAGAAAGAAGAAGAGAAGTTGAAGGCGGTGGAAGAGGAAGAAGAACAACCACTGGAAATGCGAAGGGCAGGAGGAAGAGGAGAATCTAGTGGGATGAAAAATGATCAATTGGAGAAGAAGATTACAGAGTGGGTTGCAGGTTTGTCTCTAGGCGAAGATGAGGAGGACTTGATGTATGTGCCCAGGGAAGAACAGAAGGCGGCCGTGAAAGAGAGGGATGCTGAAGAAGATCCACTCAAGCGGCAGGTGTTGGAAGATGAGAAAAGGATGGAGTGGAAGTTCCGTCTGACAAGGGAAAGGAAAAGAAGAATGGAGGCAGCAACGCAGGCCGCGAGAGAATTAGAGGAGATCAAGAAGCAGAGGGATCAAATGGCGGTACAAGTAGATTTGTTGGGAAAGATAGAGATCCTGGCGAAGAACGTAGAACGCCTGGCACAGGTCCAGGAGGAGCAGTTCCTGTTTGGGAGAAGTCAAGACATTGTCGTGCGTTCTATACGAGTGGGGCTCAAGGACTTTGCACAAGAATTAGCGACACAGGTGGGCTCGGAGGTGAGTGCCCGCCTAGAGGGCACTGAACGATACTGCGCAGGCGCCATAGAGGGCGCCAAAGTGGCTGCTCCCAACGAGGAGGAAGTACGTCCTCGTAGGGAGTCTGTCAAAGTCAAGTTTCCTGATTCCTACAGTGGGAACAAGGAGGAAAACTTTGACAACTGGGAGTCTAATATTAAGACCTACGTGCACTTGCAAAAGGTCTCCCCAGATGAGCATGTGCTAGTCGCTATTCACTCGCTAAAGGAAGAGGCCGCCAGTTTTGCCCGATCCCTAGTCCGCGCTGCAAACTGCAACGAGGATGTAGTTGCTTACCCTGCGTTCACACCCCTCGCTGATTTTCTTAAGTTGTTGCGCGAACGATTTGTCGATGTCTCACGCAGTGTCAAAGTTTTCGATAGGTTGCAGACTATCCACTCTCGTCAGTGGAGGAGTGTCAAGGCACTCAAAGGGGTAATGGACGAGTTAGTGGTTGTCCCTGACCATGGGGTCACAGAGACCCAACTGGTCAACCTCTTCTACCGGGCTATGCCCGAATCATTACGAGGGCACTTCTTCGAGAAGAGCTAGTAGTCTACCATGACCTACGATGCGTTGAGCAGGGAAGTGGTAGCTTTTGAAGCACGGTCCATGTCAGTTTCCACCTTCTGGCACAAGGACCTTGACAAAGGGAAAAAGTGGAAGGGTCACACTATCTCAGGGCAGATCAAGACCAAGGATCGTCTGCTCCAGAACGTTAGACGAGGGTAGTGTGGAAGAAGTCCCCTATAACCAAGTAGAGTGGGGGCTAGAGGAGGAGAAGGAAGATAGTAGCTTGAGCCAGGGGAGGACTTACGCTGCTGTCGCGACCGAAGGGAGGCCGCAAGGAAGAGGAGGAGGCCAGGGCCAAGGGGGCTGGGCCTCAAGTGGTCGTGTCCAGGGCGATCAGGCGGTTGGCGGTAGAGGAGGAAACCGCCAAGCGGGAGGAAGGGGTCAAGGTCCCCCGCAAAACCGTTCTGGTAACCGTTCACCTAATAGGGGTAATAGGTCACCCTATAGGAGAGGTGGTTGGCACCCAGGTCTACCACAGGGCCGACCTTGGGAGGATTTGGGCCTGGATCAGCGCGTCTGGTAGCAGCGTGTGGATCAGGGGCAGTGCGTCTTTTGTGGTGACCCTGGCCACATCATTCGATATTGTCCAAAGTATAGAGAGGCCCGATGGGCTGCCCAACAAGCAAAAGGCAGCCGCCTGTAGGGGTTGCAACTGCCCCTACCATAAGGCCATGTGGGGAAACGAGCACGAGCCGGCAAGAAACTCCCACACCACATGAGCTTATGGCAGAGGTTGCAGGCCGGTGCCTAAATAGCTGTCCAGAGACTGCTTGTGTTAGAGTCTCTTTAGGCACCTCCCTCACAGGTGTGGCTGACGAGTTGAAGGAGAGAATGCCCGCCTGGGCCAAGATGAAAAAGGAGACTAAAGGACAACTAGTGTTAGTGGATGTAGAAGTTTTTAGAAGTAGAGTAGGAGCCCTTATAGATTCAAGAGCTACCCGTAGTTATATTAGCCGTAGGGCGCTAAAGAAGTTGAGGCTAGGGCTGAAAGTCCAGAAGTTAGAAGACCCCATAGTGAGTGTCCTCGCAGACAACCGCACTATGCGTGTTGAGGACTACGTAGAGGGAGTCCAAGCGTATTTCCGCCTAGAGAAAGATGGGAAGGTGGAAAAAGTTCTCTATTCCCTGACTCTCCTCGTACAAGACGACCTTCCTTTTGATATAGTCCTAGGTATGGACTGGGGAGAGGCAGCAGGGGCCACACTCCACCTGAGAGAGCATGAGTGTAGGCTCCCTAGTCCGACAGGCGAGGTCAAGACTGCCCGTCTATTCCATGCGTCAGGTGTAGACAATACCCTGGCACATTGTTGTCTCAGTGCTCCTGCGTTCGCGCGACTAGTAAAAAATGAAAAATTAGAGAAGCAGGTCTTCGTAGTTTAAGTAAGGCTTGTGACTGAGCTTAAGGAGGAGAAGCCCATTGACCCAGCAATTGCCAAGCTGCTGGAAGAGTTCAAAGATTTAGCTGAGCTGCCGACAGGAGTAGTACCGCGGCCCATCTAGCCTCGCATTGAGATTGAGCCTGGCAGTAGGACTCCCAAAGGAGCGGTGTATAGAATGTCCCCGCGGGAGTTAGAGGAGCTACGCAAACAGTTAGACGAGCTCCTAGAGAAGGGTTGGATTAGGCCCAGTTCATCTCCTTTTGGAGCACCAGTCTTGTTTGTCCCCAAGAAGGAAGGGGAGCTCAGAATGTGTATAGACTATAGGGGTCTTAATGCTATCACCGTAAAGAATGCAGAGCCGCTGCCCCGTATAGATAATCTTTTAGACCGGGTGCAGGGGTGCAAGTATTTTTTGAAGATAGATTTGAAGTCCGGATATCATCAGATAGAGGTCCATCCTAATGATCAGTATAAGACCGCCTTGCGGACTAGGTATGGGCACTATGAGTTTATAGTCATGCCCTTTGGACTAACCAACGCGCCAGCGACTTTTCAGCGTTGTATGAATGACCTGTTTAGGCCGTGGTTAGATAGATTTGTAGTAGTATATCTAGATGATATTCTAGTTTTTAGCAAGACCCTCCAAGAGCACCAGGGTCATCTTAGGCAGGTCTTAGAGAAGCTGAGAGAGGCTAACTTCAAGATCAACCCCAAGAAGTGTGAGTGGGCAAAGACCCAGGTTTTGTACTTAGGCCACGTCTTAGACGGAGACGACATTAAGCCAGAGGATAGCAAAATAGCAGCGATTAGGGATTGGCCTACACCCCGCACGCTGACAGAGTTGCGATCGTTCTTAGGCCTGGCGAACTACTACAGGAAGTTTGTGAGGAACTTCTCTACCATCGCTGCACCCCTTCACATATTGCTAAGGAAATAAACAATATCAAGTGGGACAAGGATTGCACATCTGCCATGAAGAAGTTGAAGCAGGCGTTGATAAAGTATCCATTCCTTAAGGTCGCCGATCCGTCCTTACCTTTCGTTGTTACCACTGGCGCGAGCCAGTATGGCATAGGTGTTGTACTACAGCAAGACGATGGCAATGGATATAGACCCGTAGAGTTCATGTCAGCGAGGATGCCCTCAAAGAAGGTAGCCACCTCGACTTACGAGAGAGAACTCTACGCTCTCAGGCAAGCATTAGAACACTGAAAGCACTACTTGCTTGGGAGGCACTTCAAAGTCTATTCAGACCACGAAACGTTAAGGTGGTTGAAGACTCAGGCCAAGATGACACCTAAGCTGACTAGGTGGGCCGCAGAGATAGGCCAGTACGACTTTGAGCTCAAGCCAGTTAAGGGCAAGTATAATGTAGTTGCGGATGCTCTAAGTAGGAGATCAGACTACTTTGGAGCGGTAGTCCATTATCTGGATATAGGAAAAGACCTGCAATAGAAAGTTAGAGAGTCATATGCGCAGGACCCTATCTACAGTGACCTTCTTAAGAAAGTGAAGGAGGCCCCAAAAACCGAACCAGATTACCGCACTACTGACGGGTTGCTATTTGAGAAGACTAATGTAGTGGACCGACTGTGCGTTCCCAACAACGAAGATATCCGTAGTTTGATCTTAGGGGAATCTCACGATACAGAGGGACACTTTGGTTGGCAAAAGACTCTAGCCAACCTAATGCATGCGTATACCTGGCCAGGAATGAAGAATGATTGTATAAAGTATGTTCACAGTTGCAAAGTTTGCCAGAGGAATAAGACTACTACGCGTGCCCCGCTAGGTCTTCTCAGACCCTTGCCCATTCCGGATCAGCCGGGAGACTCAGTGTCAATAGATTTCATGGACACTCAAGTCAAGAGCAGGCATGGCAAGAGCCAAGTCATGGTCATAGTTGACCGCTTTAGCAAGTACGCAGTTTTTGTCCCTTTGCCTTCTGAAGCCCATACAGAGTTAGTGATTCAAAAGTTTTTTGATCATTGGGTCAGTGAGCACGGCGTCCCATTGTCCATAGTTAGTGATAGAGATACCTGGTTCACTAGTCAGAACTGGCAGGAATTGATGATAGTCTATGGCTCCAAGTTGTTGATGTCGTCTGACCGCCATCCAGAGACTAACGGTCAGACTGAGCAGATGAATAAGATCCTGCAGCAAGTTCTGTGTATGTACATTAGACCTGATCAAATCAACTGGGATGAGATGCTTCCCAAGGTAGCCAGCGCCTATAATAACAGTGTGCACTTGTCTACCTGTCGCACTCCCAACGAGTTGCACAAGTCCTTTAGACCGCGTAGACCTTTTGAGGGACTTAACCGGGATCAGATTCAGAGGCTACCGCCCGGTACTAGGGATTTCGCGATACAGCACGAGAAAGAACTAGCTTCTGCTGTAGAGAACCTCAGGAAGGCCCAGCATAGGATGATAGAGCAAGCCAACAAGCATCATCGCCCGTCGCAGTTTCAAGTAGGCGACTTAGTCTGGGTCAAGTCTAAAGAGTTTGCTCCTGAGGAGAACATCTCGCAAAAGCTATTGCCCGCGTATAGAGGACCGTGGCCAGTCCTCGAAGTTAACGGCGGAGAGGATGGGCCATCCTATACAGTAGAGATTCCAGCGCACCTCCACACCTACCTAGTATTTCACGCATCAAAGTTATTGCCGTGTGTCACAAGTCAACAGTTTCCCTCCAGAAGGTCCATGATCCCTCCGGATATGGATGGAAGATGCGACATTGACGGCATTGTAGGTGAAGATATATTCAGAACAGGAGGTAGAGGTCGTCCTCAAAAACAGTACAAGGTCCGATTCGCATATCAGGAACCGGAAGACGACCGCTGGTTTACCAGAACTGGACTTCTAGAAACAGCTCCCGACATAGTCAGGGCCTACGAAAGAGATAGGAAAGGTAAAGGTCCTGCCTTGGACTGAGACATTCTCGGAGGACCTCGAATTTAGGCCGGCGGGAGTGAAACGGTTTTCACCTTTGCAGAGGCATATGCAGATCCCGGGGTTTGATCCCCAGACCTTACCTCACCCATGTATAGTATCGAGTTGACCCTTGAGTGCTTGAACCCGTGACCTGTGTTTTATGAGTTGTTGTTTGTCTGTCGTAGGACTGTGTGGACATAGGGATTCGATCTGTAGACCTGTCGAGTAGAGGTCTTAGAGAGTTCCAGAAGTCGTAGCTGTAGATGTCCCGAAGGGTCAAAGTCGTAGCTGCTACAGTCCTGAAGGGTCAAGATCGTAGCTGCTACAGTACTGAAAGGCCAAGCCCACAGTCTTCCGGAAGGTCCGGAAGTGGCCTTTCGAGTTTTCCTCTCACGTTTTCCACAGAAGGCCCGAGGCAAGTGGGCAAGTGGTGCGTCCAACTTCGCTTAGTCAGCGGTACCCAGTCCCAGTCTCACTTTGCACAGTCGGCAAGTACCAAGGGGGACTGTGTGCACCATGGGCCCGGTGGAAAGAGGCAGACCAACGAGTTACAGAAGTATAAATCGAGAGGCAGCGCACTGCCATTCATTCATTCCTGCGGAAGCCATGCGGAAGCGCTGCCACGGTGACTTGTGCGAGGTGGTCTGCAGAGGAGCCTAAAGTCGAAGTGGACTGAAGGAGTTAGCACAGCCATAGCTGCTTGTAGGGTAGTGTTAGTGGCGGCCATAACTGCCATAGCTGTTAGTGTAGTGTGTGTACAGTGTGTGTGCGTGGGGTATCCAGGGTGATCCGGAGTTGAAGTGTGAAGCGGACAGTGGTGTTGGACACAGAGACAAGAGTTGCGATGTGTGGGTGCTGATGCACCATAGCCTGTTGAAGCGAGCTTTCATCTGAACTGTGTCTTGGTTTCCATATCTTAGAGCTTTGAGTTGGGCGCTATGCGCCAGTGTGATTCACCATCTGTTTGTATGCATGTGAAGTGACGAAGTATGCGAGTCTGATTGCAGAGGAAGAAGAAGAGTGAAAAGGAGGACGAGGTAGAAGCAGAGGATGAGGGAAGAAGAAGGAGAGGGCTGAAGAAGAGGATGGGAAACGAGAGTAGTAGTCTCAGTATCTTATCCAGTTCGTGATAACCGTCAGACTTTGAACTCTTTTAAGTAATGGATCAGTAGTTATAGATACAGTTGTGATAACCCGTCCAAACACGGACTGAAACAACAACTGATTTCTGAGTTTTGCTCATAGACTGAATGCCCTACGCAGCTCCCCACCTGCTAAGTGTGTGTGTGTGTGTGCTTGCTGGAGTGCATGTCTGTCTGAGTGCTGGTTGGCTTGCGTGTGTGACCATGCCTGTCTGAGTGCTGGTTGGTATGAGT